GGGTGACATTTAGAGAACCACTAAATAAACCCACTGCCTCCAACTTCCCTATTTCCTTTCCCTAGCCAAGTTCTTTTTCAACATTTTAAATGTTTAAATGGCTTTTTAAAAAATTCATTTTGAACACTGAAAGAATTGCACAGTAACAGTCATGGTATTAAAATTTGTAAAAATAAAATAAACCCTCTTACATTGCTGGTTGGAATATAAAATAGCATAGCTGCTTTTCAAAAGGCAGTTTCTTAAAAAGTTAAACATAAAATTATCATATGTCACAGAAATTCACTCCTAAAAACATGCCAAAAATATCTGAAAACATATTTGTGCAAAACTTATGCATGAGTTTTCATAATAGTAATATTCACTAAAGTCAAAAAGTGCAGACAACTCTAATGTCTATTAATGGATGGTAAACAGAATGTGGAATATCAATATAGTGAATATTATTTTGGAATAAAGCACTGAAACATGCTACTACATGGGTGAACTTTTAAAATATTACACTGAGTGACATAAAAGCACACATTTTATATGATTCCATTCATATGAAGTCTATAGAAAGGGTAATTCTACAAAAACAGAAAGTAGATGGGGGTTGAGGGTGAGAATAGCGAGTGACTGTCAATGTTCATGAGGGCTATTTTAGGGTGACAAAAATGTTCTAGAACTGCATTGTGGTAATGATTGTATATCACTATAAATTTACTAAATGTCTTCAAACTGCAAAATTAAAATAGGAATTTATGATGTGCAAGGCTGGTTATATTTCTCCTTTATGTATTTTCTGTTGATCATTAAGCAACCCACTTTCATATCCATCAGCTTACTAAATTTACTTTAGTTGAGCATGATTCAAAACTGCCAAATCTATTTGCATTCACCTAATCATTTTCCACCATTGTGATATAGACACAGATTACTTCTACCCCATTAGCAGCTTGACCTTGCAGTTTCCTACATTGGCTCTTCTTTCTCATCCTACCCTTTCCAAGTGTTTAGTAAGTGTCCTCCACAAGGTCCCTTTCACATATACCACTCCCTTCAACTACAACATACCCTCATTTTAACAGTTTCTCTCCCAAAGCAGCTCCACTTTTCAGCTGTCTCATCTATGTTAAAAAATTTCTCCAACTCTTTGGGACTCAGTCGTTTTGTACTTATCTTCTGTTTTTTCTCCAATCTCTATCAAGTTTCCTCTATTTACTCCTTAAAAGGTATCACGTATTTGTGGGCAAATAATCTCAACAGACAATGCATATGGCAAGCAATACTGACATTAAATAAATATATGAAAAATATTCAAATTGGAGTGAGCAAAGAATCCAAATTAAATAATCGACACCATTTAAACCTATTGGATTAGGAAAAGAAAATTTGCTGTGACAGCAAAATGTTAGGGAGCTTGGTATCCTCATATATTTCTAATGGTAGTATAAAATGCCTTCCATAGAAAGCAGTTTGGTGAAATCTCTGAAAACCATAAGCGTATTCATATTCTTTGAACTAGCAACCCAAATTCAGACAGTTATTTTTAATAAGATAATTTATACTGAGAAAAGGGTTATATCTATAGCCCTTTCTGCAGCACTACTTTATAATAATAAGAAATTGGAAAGAACCTAATTATCCAACAATTTTGGAATGATTAAACAAATTAAAGTGCATTAAGCTGTTGAAATATACAGACATTAAAAATTATAACTACTGAGGAAGCCCACTTGTTTACCAAGTAAATGCTTATTGGGTGTATCAGGACACACAAAATATATCTACATGGTTATTATTATCATGCCAAAAAGAATTTCTGTGCCAACAGATCTAGACATTTCAGTTAAAACCTTCACTAGTTACCTTATCTACTGATACCTATTTTGGTACTTCTGCTTCTCCTCCGCAGCATCACAGTTAACATCTACTGTTGCTTTGTGCTGTCGGGCTTTATTCTCAAGGAATAACATATATTAACTCATTAATCCTCACAAGTTACCCCATGTTGGAAAGAAAGAAAGAAAGAAAGAAAGAAAGAAAGAAAGAAAGAAAGAAAGAAAGAAAGAAAGGAAGGAAGGAAGGAAGGAAAAGGAAGGGAGGAAGGGAGGAGGGGAAGAAGGGAAGAATGGAGGAGCAGGAGGAAGAAAAGCACTTGTCAAGACCACAATGACCAGTGAATAGAAGAACCTGGATTTGAATTCATAGGATTAACTCCAAGGTAAAAGAGAGAATACTCTAGTGTTTCCTTTCTAGGTCTTCCCTTCTGTAGCTTCCAATATTCACTTTTCTTACCTTCCAGTGAATATACACAAAGGACAAGAACCCTTGTCTTTCATTGACCCCTTACCCTGTGCCAGGTACTTGTTGTTTAAACCCTATGTTTGACAAGGTATTATTATCTGGTAACCTATGTAAGCAAAAGCTGAGTTTAAACCTGGGTGTATCTCTACCAGCTGTGAGACCTTGAATAGATCATTTAGCCTCTGAAGCTCTGATTCTAGTAGTGATCCCGGGACCAGTTACATCGGCACCACCCAGGGAGCTTGTGAAGAAATGCAGATTTTAAACCCTACTTCATACCAACTGAATCAGACTCTCTGACAGTGGAGTCTAAATCTCTAGGTGTTTCAACAAGCTATCCAGGTGTTTCTGTTGATTCTGAGACCTTCTGCCCTAGTGTAATAATGCTTACCTGGCAAAATGGGTAGGAAGATTAAACATAATCTGTGTACCAAGGCATAGGTCAAATACATTCCTTTGCAAATGACAGTGTATCATTTCTTCTGTTGAAGTGTATAGAGGTGGTACTTCTCTGCTTGTGGTATGGGCTAGCACTGTGCTGCCTTCTACTGTTTTGCTAATACATCACATTTGGCATAGACAAAGATAGTATATATGCTGGATTTTTAATGAACTCTTCCTATATTGACAAGTCCATCACAGAACCCTTCCGGAGGACTATAGTACAGTGTCTCTGAAGCTAGACCTCCTAGGTCTGGTTTACAGTAGTTGTGGAATTTTAGGTACATAAATGTATGTTTGTATGCCTCAGTCTCTTTGTCAAAGGGAGAGAAAAAAGTACCAAAACCATAAGTCACAGTGATAAACAGCTGCATATAAAACACTTTGGATGGTGCCAAGTAGAGAGAGCTAAGCTCATGAAATGTCAATTAGCATTATTGTTTTCTTGTCTTTTCACCCATTCTGTGGTGTATAGGCTCTGTCTCTTCATTTGGCAAGCAAATGACAAATACCTCTTGAACAATTTCTCTGTGGTAGGCACAGAGAATAAGGTTGTCACTAAGATATGATCTCCTCTTTTGAAGACCTTGATTTAATGCAGAAAATTTAACGGGCTTGTTAGAGTGGAGTGATTTTCCCAAAGATATAGAACAAGTCAGTTCAGGGCTGGGGAATAAAGGCTATTCATAAATCCCTACCCAAGACTTAAATTTCTGAGACATGAGGCTGAAGGATCAGTAGGAAGGGTTTTCTTACAAATCCTAATTGAAGCAGGTGTAAGGGGGAAAACACGAACTTTGGAGTCAGACAAACCTGTGTACAAAATGTACTTCTATCACTTGCAAGCTGTGTGACTTCAGCTAATATAACCTGTACTAAATGGACATGAAGATTAATTGTCATGAGGAACAAATGAGATTTTCTTGATAGAAACTCTCAGTTCTAGGATAGTACCTATCACTTAGATGATTCGTAAATATGGGTTTCCACCCCTTTCTCATTATGCACCAGAAAGAAGTTTCTCAGACTTAGGAGTCAGAAAAAAGTGAGAACAATATCTGACTCTGTTGTCAAATTAGAAGGGATAATTTAGACACCTTAGAAAGAACCCTGGACTCTTTTAGGATTTAGGAGACCCAGTTTCTAACCCTCTCTCAGTGTCTTCACCATGGAGAATACAGGCACAATTTGGAGACTTTTCCCCTGTCACCTTATTTATTCTGGAGATTGCATAAAGAGTCAGTACAATTTAGGAGCCACTTGTATCATTTGAGCTGAAAAACAAACTGATTTACAGATTATCCAGGAGTCCATGAAGCAGGTCCAGCCAGGATGATAAGAGTAACCCAGAAGAATGTAACTCTGTGCCCCGCATGGGGCACTAACTTAGGATGCCTCATCTCTAGAGAATACGAATGCCAGTGCCATGATCTCCACATTACAGGGACAGAGTCTCCAACCTGAATGGGTTTTCCTTAAGTGCTGTGCCCAAGAAGCTCCTTTCTCTATTCTAATCCACATATCATGACATTTATTTACAAAAATCTTTGCTTGTCACCAGGAGTTGCCATCATGATCTGTCCCCAGACTTTTCTTTTTTTTGAAGTGCTATATCAGGGATTAAAACCAAGTCCTTTACACTGGGTTACAACTCCAGGCTAATAATAATAATAATAATAATAATAATAATAATTTGAGATAGGGTGTCACAAAATCACTAAGTTGCCCAGGTAGTACTTAAATTTGAGATCTTCTTGTTTTAACTTCCCAGACTGGTGGGATTGTCTCCAGATTTTTTAATAAGCAGACTTTAAGTCCTCAACAAACTGTATCCAAAGGAAGGTTGCAAAAGTGAATAACCAGTTATGTCTAACACCGCAGGAAAAGGCATAGCAGTAGCTGGAGAGTTCCTCTTTTCTACAAGCTGCATTTTCCCTGAGGCCACTGGAAAGGGAGGCATAGCTTATGCTTTTTCATTTCTTTTTCAGCATAGTCTGGTCCCGTATGACCTTTGACCAGGGCAGTGCTGTCTAAGGCCTGATTGATACAATGTCCCACACAATGTGGCTTAACTACATTTCAAAATGTTGTAGCAATCAGTTGGGTCTATACCCAACTGTCTAGGAGGTAGGCCGGATTACATCTGTGGCAACAAGTCCTTGGTATGGGTACCAGAGCAGTTTCTCAAAGGAATCTTAAGTTAACTGAAAGTACTTTCTATAAAGGCCTCAGAGGCCCAATTTACCCCAACTCCCTGAGCCATCACTTACCTCCCAGACTGGCCAGTCTTCTTGTTTCCTGTTATTGGTTTCCATTTGTCCCCAGGAAATTCCTGCAAAGCAAAGTTCGAATAAGTTAGGGAGCTCTCAGTAACTGATATTAAGATGGTTTTAAATAAGACAAGCAGTCAGAAGCCTGTCCCTGGCTAGTCCTCAAGCTGGTGCTATCTTCTCTCCTGGGAATGCTACTGAAATATGTACCTGGAAGGCAGCCTTCCTGCCCAGAAGCCTGCTGAGCTGCTGTAGGCATGCTGAGACCCAGAGGCTCTGAACACTGGTGCTCTAGAAAGGTGGCCTAAAAGAGCATTTCCTCTGTGGCCCCTCCAAACTACATTCAAAAGCAGTTTAATGTATTTGCTATTTGTTCTGGCTTTTTCCTGCATTGAGGGTCAAGAGAAGGAGGTCATTTTCTTTGTTCTATTGAATGAACCTGCTCATTTCTTCTCCTTCTGTTAATATAAAAAGCATCTTTTTGGAACCTCTGGCCTTGGGTGTGTGTGGTGTGGGTCACAGGGAAAGGCTCTTGCTTTAGCAAGCCTTCTCCAGGTTGGGCCAAGAAAGATGGAAAGGAGCCCTGCCAGCACAGCCCTACCCCACAGCAGCTCTTCCTCCCCCACAGCAGCTCTTCCCCTCCCCACATCTGTTGGCAGGGGATGATGTGGGCTCTTTTGGGGGGAATACAAACACTACATGCTATGATCTCTACACCATATGAGGGGATTTTACCATGGGTATTTTTTCCTTAAGAGCTATGCCCAGCCTGTATTTTCTTTCCTGCCAGGCCAAGCCATGTGTGCCATTTATAAAAATGTTCTCACCTTCCTGTTCTAGCTCTAAACTGAATGAAAAATTTCCTTTCCTATTCTTCCTGATTTTCCACCCATCATAGTCTACCTAGAGACTCAGTACTCAGCCCAAAAGGAATGCAGTTTTTCCTCAACCTCACTGATCTTCCAAATTTCTCTAGTGTTATTATTAATTCCATTCAAGATTTTACCACCTTAACCTCAGTAGCACCTTTTGGGGAGCAATGATGAAAGAAAATGAACATAGGTCTTTAGTGTCAGTCATGCTAGTTACAATGCTTACTAATTGTTCGTTTTTGGTGTTGTTTTACATATTTTATAACACACTAGTGAGGATTAAACCTACAGCCTTTTTACTGAGTTACATCCCCTGCCATTTATATTTTTTAAAAAATCTCTGTTAGTCCATGTTTGCATTACATAATTCTTACACTTCTTATATGGAGTCAGTACAAATACACAGCACATCTTAGTTCATTTTGTACATCTTTGCCCCTTTCCCCTCTGCCTTCATCACCTGATACCCTTCTCATTTGAAACAGAGCAAAGTTTCTATTTCCAATTATCTATTTCTTATTTTGCTTTTTATTTATGTTTTGGAGACAAGGTCTCACAAAGTCATTAAGTTGTCAAGCCTGAACTCAAACCCTGAGTCTCTCAGAGTGCCAGTACTATAGGCATGTGCCACCATACCTGGCTAGCTGTGGTATTTGAGAGTTCTCTGACTTCCTTGTATCTCAGGTTCCCTCTGGCAAATAAGGATTATGCTATCTACTCTTGCTTGATTACTAGTAGTGAGGACCAGATGAGATATGCAGAGAGAACTCATTGCATGGTGCTTAGCATAGAGAAAGTTCTGGATGTTAGTAGCCATGGAAAAGGTGAAGTTTATTTCTTGGCTCCAGCTGTCATAGGACCAAAGTAGTCCTTATATGTGTCTGGGACATCAGAGCAGCTCTAGCCACTTGTACTTCAGATTCTGTCTCAATGCCCTCATTAGATGTCCCTGCCCACAAAGACATCATGGTTCATTTAGCTACAGTGGGAGCCAGGATTTCCTGGCCATGCCCTGTCTAGCCCTGTGGAAGTGCTCAGAAAATAGCAGTGGCCAAACAAAACAATGTCTTCTACCCACTGCTAACTGCCTTTCTGTATTTCCAGTTTCAGTTTATTTTTTTTCTTGAGCCATTTAAGTTCCTGTAAATTGCCTGTAATTGCTTCTTGAACTGAAAAATCTATTATCCCCATGACTGGTGGTAGATGGGATTATGGGAGAAATTGTTGCCCCAGTGGAAGTGATACTACTAGAATGCATCCTGCCACACTAGAGAGAGTCTGGACTTTGCTAGCAGCTGATAGAGAAGCAGTAGAACAAATTCAGAAGTTTGGTCACTATAACTAATTGGTAAAGCTTTAATCTCACACCCATCCTTCACTAGATATACAACTTCTCTTTATCTTCATTTCTCCCAGTTAAACAGCCACAGATATGTGACCATAAGTGTACCTGTTTCTTTGCTGCCTGAGAATATTCTAATGCACCCAGAACATACCTGGTGGTTAGTAGACATACAAATGTCAGTTACTAGGGCTGGGGATGTAGCTCAGTGGCATACGCTCCTGCCTGGCAAGTGCAAGGTCCTAAGTTTGACCCCCAGTATATATAAAAAATATATTTTGGTTACTGCTGTGGTATGCAATACTGGTTCTGCCATTTGTAAGATATGTGACCACTCTGAGCCTCATTTTCCCCTACTGTAAGCTGAGGGGTGTTTTATTATACTTTATATCATACACATAGAAATAATCTATGTGTGCAAAAATAACCAGCATGAAATATAAGGGAGATTAATGTGTACTGATTTCAGTTCTAACAGCACCAAAGAGGAGAAAATTAGCTCCTCAGTCTTCTCCAGCAGCAGAAGGAACAGGATCTGAGCCACACTTCAGAAAGCCCCAGTCAGAGATACCATAGTCATCAGAACTGTTGTATCTGAATCCATGATACAAGTTTCCTCCATGCCTTTCGACTTATTATTACCCCCTTTTAGGGTACTGGGTGCAAGTGGTGGTGTAGACGTGGGCATGTAGTGGCTCCTAGACAGCCATCTTAAGGTCTCAGAAGACCTGCTTAGCTAGTTTACTAGGTATTAGGAACCCAACATGTGCCTCCGTCCAATCACAAAAGGAAGGTCATGGTATAGGCTCAGGTTCACCTGCATTGCTTCTGCTAGTTGCTTCTATCTGCCATTTGCACCTCCTTCCCTTACACAGGGCTGGAACTGGGCTGGCACGTCCACAGCCAGAATCTCCTTACATCCTCTTCATCCTCAGTCCCCTTTCTCTATGATCCACTTATGAGTCTTTTCAACTAAAACTTACCAAGTTAAACCTAAATCTCCCTTTATCTTAAAAGATAACAGCTTACTTATAAGATAATTACTAATCTGACCTCACTGTTCTAAGGGTCTTACACATCAAGCATATAATCCTCACAACCTATTCAATGAGTAGGTGCTGTTGTTACCCTTACTTCTTTCTAGCTAGAAAGGATTAGGTACTATAAATTCTAGAGATGTAATTAGGACTCAGGCCATTTAGTGCTAGTTTCAGTGCCTTTTAGCCATTATTCTGTATCTTCTCTTTGTTTTTCAACATTGTATACTAAAACTCCCCCAAAACTTGAAAGAAGCTTATATCCATATATGAACCATCTAGATTCTACAATTAACATTTTGCTACAAAGTGAAAACCCACCAAATAAAGCCACTCAGTGAACAAGAAATAAATAGCCTAAATGACCCAATATCTATTACAGAAATTAAATTTGTAGTTAAAAACCTTTCCCGAAAGAAAATTCCAGGCTTAGATTGTTTCAATGATGAATTCTACCAGATATTTAATAATAAAATAATACATATTATATATATAATTTATGTTATATATTATATAATATATGACATCTGATATAATATAATAATAATATTAAATTTTTGTGAAAATATAAGAGAAGGGTATACTTCTTGACTCATTTCTTACGGCCGGCACTATCATGGTAGAAAGGAGATATTACAAGAAAACTACAGACTAAAATTCCTGATAAACATAGATGTAAAACTCCTTAACAGAATATTAACATATCAAATCTAGGAACATATAAAAAGGATACAACATTCATGATCAAATATGATTTATCTTTGCAATGCCAGGCTGGGGATTATCTCAAGTACCAATCAATATCAATCACTGCATTAACAGATTAAAGAGAAAAGTTCTTATCTCAACAGATAGGGAAAAAGCACTTGAAAAAGTCCAAAATCCACTCTAAAAACCAAAAACAAACCTTTCAGACATTAAGAATAAAAGTATAATTTCTTCACCAGGTGTGGTGGCACACAACTGTAATCCTAACTACTCAGAAGATTCAGATAGGAAGGTTGCAAGTTCAAGATTAGTCTGGTTAATTTAACAAGAACTTACTTCAAAATAAAATAAAAACGAATAGTGATATATTTCAATGCTTGCCCTAGCATGTGTGATGCATCTGAGACTTGATCCCTAGTACAAAAAGGAAAAAGAAGGAAAGAAAAGAGGAAGAAAATGAGAGAGAGGGAGAGAGAGAGAGACAGACAGACAGACAGACAGACAGACAGAGACAGACAGAAAGAGACAGAGAGACAGAGAAAGAAAGTATAGTTAAAATCAAATGTAATATTGAATGACTACAAAGCAGCAATGTCTGCTTTCATCACTTTTTCTGAAAGAAACAATGATAGTCTTAGACAATACAATGAAGCTCTCCTTTTTCCCAGGAAAGGTTACACAGAGTGGGAAGGGAGACATAAAATGCTTTCTATTCATAGATGACATGATTGCTTATGTACGTATCTTTTATAATCTACGAAAATGCTAGAACTAATCAATGCATTTGGAAAGGCTGCAGGATACCAGGTCAACATACAAAGTTTATCTGTATTTCTACATAGTAATTACAAAGAATTTTAACTTGACATTAAAAAACAATACATATTATAATAGCATCAAAAATGAAATCTTAGGATAAAGGCATAAAAATATGTGCAAGATCTGTATGTTGAAAATTATAAAATAAGCCATCAACATACTTCAAAAATACTTTGGCATATATATTAGTTTTATAGTCACTTAAAATATAGTTATGGAAAAATTTACTTCCCAGGTATATACAAATATTAAGTGTACATTTGGTAACTTTTGGCAAATACATTTGTGTAACTAGAAACTATCAAGAGCATGCTCTTAGGCCCTTTTTGAGCCAATCACTGTGCTGCTTGTCATTGGCAAGCATTGAACATTTTCTCCACAGGTATATAGTCTTTTTATATCTTTATGAAAAAGTGATTGTAGAGTATTACTCTTTTGCATAAAGTGGCTTTCAGTTTCAAGTTTCTTTTGCCAAATAAAATAATTGAGCAATTTCGAGCACTAAGTCATTTCCACAGTGTCCACCTATGAAACAAGCGTCTAGTACACAAATGCATTTCTGGGTTGAGTTCAACAGCCAAAAGATGGCAGTAGGGATTCCACGGGGAAGGGATCTGGCAGGGAGGACATAAGCACATAGGGTGTCCTCCCACAAGTACACTGCGAAAAGGCAGGAGCTTGCGTTAGATTGATAGCTCATAACCAGAGCGAGACAACAGCCAGTCTAGACCTGGGTCTCCAACAGAGAAAGGATGAGAAGAGGGGTTGAAAATTTTCAAAAAAGACAAGTTAGATCTCTGAAAGCAAAATCTAGGGAAATATTTGCAAATCTTACATCTGCAAATAGTTTTGCAACAGGAAATGGTGGACAGTGAGTGCTAGATCACATCATGCACTGACCTGGAATGCTACACATAAGATCTCATCTGATTCTTGTAACTGCTCTCTGAGGCTCCCATGTTGCTCTTCCACTTTAGAAACAGGGTAGTAAGAATGTTTATAGTATTGGCTACCTTATGAGATAAACATTAGTTTTTCTTTTAAAAGTCATAAATTTTAAATTGTGGTAGTTGAATGCTTAATGTCACTTAGATACCAATTTTTTAATCAGGATAAGAAACCCTGTTTTGTTTATTTAACAAAGTAAAAGTTACTTTTATATAACTTAAAGATGCACAGGTGTATTCTAATTCTGGTGACTAAGTGTTTGCTTGATTACTAAGCCACCACCTGGTAGAGAAAAATGATAATTATTAAATTTGGATAGTGCCTTACCTATCTTTCTGCTCACAAGGAGAATAATAAACTCAGTCACCCCATGGATTAAGTCCTCACCTGCACTGGTGCCTTCCTGTATTTCCAAGCGTTGCCAGGTGTCAAGCTGCTCTCCTCGAGGGTACTGTGCTGAGGATTATGACAGCAAGCAGCACACCGCATGCACTGGTGGTGGTGGAACCTGCAGTTGTAGCAATTTGGCATCATATTTCTTTTTAACAAGCCAGGGCAGATTTCTCCAGAACAATAAATGCAAGAGTCATGGGCCATAGCTCCCTGAACACTGCAGGAGTAAGAGCAGGTCCTGCGGCAATCAAAATCACTGCAGTGCAGTGGCTTGCAGCACAATGAGTTTTCTAGACCTTTGCTTACAAAGCATTCTGAGTAAGTGGCAGTTTCTGGCTGAAGTGGTGATATGGGATGACATGATTGCTCTGTGGCATGATATGGTTGGTCTGTGGAATAATATGATTGGTCAACAGGATGACACCTCAATTCCCTGTAGCTGGAGTTTACTGACTGGAAGTTTTGGTCTATAGGTTTTGGTCTCGGAATGAATGTCTTACTACTATGAGTGGTTAAACCTGGCAAATGGGATGTGGATAAGGATTTGCTGTTCTCTTCAAAGAACTTTCTTCGGTCTGCAAAGGGCAAAAGGGTGGATTCCTCCACAGCTTGGGTAATAGAAGGCTTCAATTCCTTGTCACTTGGGCTAGAAGGGCCTTCTGTGGACAATGTTACACGTGGGCGGAGGTTATGTTCTGGAGACCATCCTCGATGACCTCCACGGATGCCATAGTAAGCTTTCCCTCTTTCAGAGTCTGAGACAGATGGGTCAGATGCTTTCCACCAGTTGTTTAGGCCCACAGAAGACTGGCCAGGCCTCTGGCCAAGGCTTATTTGTCCCTCCAAGCCTGTCCTAGATTCATGGTTCTCAGGACCTTGGCTAAGGCACTCTGAAGATCTAGCCCTGAATATTATGCTCTTGTTGAAAAGCTTACTTCTGGGGCTAGGGGGATTTTTATATGAACATAGAAGAGATGAGTTAGAGGCAGGAAGTGGAGGACTTTCTGGAACCTCTTGGGTCTCTTCCACTGGTTCCTGAGTGTCACATAGCTGTGACAAAGGACCCTTGTTCTTTTGAAGCTGGGCCTTTCTCCTCTGAATTTCATTACGTAGGTTGGTGGCAAAACGCTCACTCTTCCTTCGGTTTTGGATTGAGCGGCCCCGAGGGACTCCAGTTCGCCTGCCACCCATCTGACTGAACTCCTTGGGTTCACTTTCTACTTCCTCCATCACTTCTGTGCTGTCAGCTACTTTAGTGGCTGAAGAACAGTCTTTGGTTTGCTGAAAGAGAGAGCAAGAGACTGCAGGCTGCTGGCTGGTCAAGTCACCGCCTGTTCCACTTGCTTTGTTTGGGTCCAGGAATCCTTTTTCTGGAGGGCATCCATCTGCCTCTCCATGTGGAGAACTGTTTTGGCTCTGGGGTCCTGAACTCAAAGGCCTATCATCCATTGGCCTGATCTTTCTTTCTCTGCTGGGCTGATCCTGGGATCCTCCCGTAGGGGGACAGGGACTTTTCTTCCCTTTGTGGCTGTTGTGCAAAGGGGACAGTGTCCACTGTTGTGCATCCTGCCCAAGTGGGGGTTCCATCCCCTTGCTACCTCTGGAATCCAGGTGCACATGCTGTAGGTGGGATGACAGTAGCTGTTCAGGGGCACTATGGCGATGCCCTGTGGGTCCTGTGAGGTGTGGAGGGCTGCCATAGGAAGGAGCATTAGTTATCTCTCCTGGTGTCTCACTGAGGATGCTGGAATCTTTGCTAGGAGCTTTGTCACAGGTTTTGAGAGAAGCCTCCACAAGGAGAAGCTCAGAGCCCTGTTGGCTAGATTCAGGAGGCTGACTGAGCTCACAGTTCTCATGCTCCTTGCTTGTTATATGGTCTTGCCCACTGAGGCAGCAGAACCTATGAGAGTTCCTTGGGGATAGGGCTGTGTCTAAGTTTGTTTTCTCCTTCTGTTGTAAGGAGTCCACAGGCTCAGATGCCTTGCACTCTTCTCCATTGAGGAGTTGGGCTTTGGAGGCCTGGAGGCTGTCCCGCCTCACTGGAGGTTGTGGTGGGCCCCTGACTGTCTTGGCAGGCCCTGAGTGGTAGCCACCCTGTGAGTGGGATGACATCTGGGAGTTGGGGGTCAGGCGGCCAGTGCTGGTGTGCTGGCTACCTCCTGAGGTCTCAGAGCCATTAGCCCGGGAACTGGGAGCCTTAGCTGGCCCTAACCCTTGTGTGATACAGTCTGCTGGGGCTGCCTCCTCTGGCCTCAGAGAAAGAGCACAGTCAGAGGCATTTGAGCTCGCTGAGAAGGAGCTGTAGGCTGAGTCACGTTGGTTAGGATACATGTTCTGTTCAATGGGCAAGAGGTGGCCCTCATAAGTGGCTTGGCCTGGTTGTTCCAGGCTCTCCATGCTGCCAATGGAGCTGCTTTTCTCAGTGCTGCAGTGCCGAGAGAGAGGACACCACTGCACACACACGTCACTGTAAGACAAAAGGAACACCGGTTAATTAGTCAAGCCACTAGATCCCTTTCACATGTTGGCCAGCCTTACCATAGAAGAAACCAAAACAACCCAGAGGTACCCATCCCACACATGTGAGATCAGTAAGGCAAGAAAGGGAGAAAGTGGAACAGGGAATGAGATGGATGCGGGAGCACTGTGTGGACATGGTAAAATGAGTGACATGTGACACATATGGCAGGTGAGAAAATGCCATGAAATTACGCACCATTCCCTTGACATCAACAGGTTTTGAATTGTTTTTCTGCTGTCACTGTCTGCTGGGGAGCATTTGGCTCTCTGCACAGTCACAAAATTATTAGCATTAGACAGGGTCCTAAAGGGTTGACTCAATTAAAGCCAAATCTTTTTGTAAATCAATGGATTTCAACCTGGAATGTATGTCAACATTACACAGATGGCTTGTTATAACACAGGCCACCAAACTTTATCCTAGAACAGTGATGGAAAACCTTGCAGAGATTTCAAAGATTCAAAACAGTCTTCTGTGGCATGCATGCCATAGGTTCACCACCACTGTCTATGTTTTAGGTCCAGCTGGATCCAGAACATATGAACTTCTAACTTCCAATGTGCTGCTGTGCCCAGCTGCTGGTTCAAGGCATGTCCTTTTGAGACTCACTGGTATCAATAAAGCAAGACTTGCAAAAGGAAGTGGCCTTGAAGAAGTACTTTTCCCAAGATCACTCAGCTTGAACTAGTGGCACAGATGCTTTGGGAATTTGGGCATTCCCCCATGCTATTCTTTTCTTATGGCCTTGAGCTTGCTAAGGTAAGTGCTCTACCTCTGAGGTACACCTACAGCCTCTCCCCCATTTTTTCTTAATAATAGAAAATCTGAATATTTGCTGAAGACCTACAATGTTCTTAGAAATTTAACTGAGAGGGAAGATCATTACTGCTACTGTATAACAGAGAATACTGAAGGTTAGGTTGGTTAAATCAACTGAGAAGTTCGCTGTTATATGAGAAAAGCATAATTGGAATTGGAACCCAGGCCTGCATTATCCAATGTTTTAGGTTTTTTTCCTGATACCATCTTTTAAATGGGAATGATAGTGAACCCTGTGCCAGACCATTTCTGTGTTGATAAAATTAGTTAATACATGTAAAGCCCTTATCACAGCCCAGGCACCTAGCATGAGTTCACTACATGATAGTGACTATTTTCTTGATTGTTGTTAGTGTTATCAGCACAAATAGTGACTACCAATATGGATATTACAGTGGTCTCCATTCACCCATGTTTCCTACGTCTCCCACAGCGAGGCAAACAAGGGAGACAAAGAGCAGATACAATCTTGAATTTTAAGCACCATTTTTACACACAGTCAAAGTGAGCCAAGTTATGCCAGTAAATCCCTCTGGCTGGAACTCTGTAGGTATCACAATGCATTCAGAAAGGCCATATTCCCCAAAGCTATAGCTAAGCTGTGACAGCAACCATCCAGGTCCTCAAGTCAGCATCCTTCAATTCTTGCTCCTTGCCTTTCCCCATAGGCATTCTGCTCACTTGTGCTCTAGACTAAGGATCTATCAACTGTTTATTGGCAAGATAACCTGGTACTGATTCTACCACCCTTCCTGAAAGAAAAAATACACCTCCACTCAAACAGGAGCCCAGTTCAGAAAGAGTTTCTTTTTATTCTTCTAGAATAAAACCACCTCTCCCTCAGCCTCTGGCATCCAAGGCCAAATAAAGTCACTTAGTCAGAGCAAACTCAACCCTTAGTTTCCTGAAGTCTCTCCCAAGAAATCCTTTCTTGGAGAGAAGATCTGGTTGTGGAAAGGGAAATGCTGCCAAGGGCAGAACACTGGCTAGCTCTGAGCTTGTTAAAAAAGTTGTTGACCTCTTGGACAGCGGCTTAAACAAAAAATAATACTGATGTTCCTGAATAGAGTGAACTTCCTTACAGGTAAACCCTGTTCTTAATGGAGGTCTCTATTTTGGAGGCTTTGGCCTTGTAAAATAGACCTGATAAACACTAGATGAGATGGGCCAGGGAGATGGCTCAGTAGAAAAGCACTTGGCCTGGCAAGCACAGGGGCCTGAGTTCAATCCCCAGTTCCAGAAAAAAAAAATCAGATGAATTCCCCAGTGATTGCTGTAGACAGAAGACATTGCCAGAATGAGCCTCTGGTCATCCTTTTATATTAAGAGAGCAGGGATATGGAAAAAATCAGGAAAAGAGACCAAGAATGAATAGCTAGTAAAACAGGATGAGAAGTAGGACAGTGTGATGTCCTGTAAGCAAAATGAAGTATTGCAAGAAAACATCATCCATAAGAAAAGGAACAGATCCAAAGTCACAAAGAGTTAGCGGTAGACTAAGACAAGAGCACAGGTAATCTGGACTCCCATGTCATTTTCAGTTCTACCACCCTTGGCCCTAAATCATCCATTTGGGACCAGAGAAGAGGAGGAGGAGTGGCCAGTCCCTTCAGCTCACCTTGAGGAGAAGGCTCCAGACTTACCCAGTGTTGCAACCTGAATGCCAGGATAAGCTGAAGGCTTCCGAAGGAAAATGCATGGTGCTGGCTGCTTCAGGGCATCCCTCCAGGAGCTTGGCCACATGCCATGAGTGCGGTCTACTGACAAGGGCGTTTCTCCTACAGCAAGAAAGGGACAGGAAGCTAGCTTAAGGAACCAGGGCTGAAATCACTTCCCAGGCAGTTTCCGCTCCCACCCCTTCTTTCCCTTCAATGAGGTAGAACATCTTACAAGAAACTCCTGTGGGAATCTGAGGGGCCTGCTCAGCTCTCAGTACTCAGGTCTCCTTTATCCCCCGGGCAATCCACAGAGGAACAGGATAACAGCTTAACTGTGTTACTTTCTTCATAGGAGTAACCTTATACACATAATAATTCTGATCACATAGTAGATGTCAGTAAATATTTGTGGAATAAAACAGAATGGCTGTCTAATAAATACTGAGCCTACCTTCACTTCTTCTTGAGAAAAAAAAAACTCAATTTAGGAAATTTCCAATTTGTCTTTGAGAGAAAAAGGGAAAAGTGACTGAATAAGTCAACACCGGGCTGTAAAATCTCATTTTTATGCATTCATTCAATAGGCATTTGTTGTACACGTACTAGGAACTGTGCAGGTAGTTCTGGAGTACTGACACCTGTCACACACAATCTGTCCTTGAAGACTTATGGATTTGTTAAAGGGACTGAGTTAATCCAAGCAAAGTATGGTAAAGGCACTGAGCAAGTGAAGGACAAGATAAGCATGCAGATGAGATATTTGAGTTTGTAGCCAGCGCGGTATCAGGGAGTCCTAACTTCTGGGGCGGGGGGAGAGAAAAAGTGATATATGGCACAGTACTTGGCTGACCAGGAGACTGACTACAAAGCAGGTCAGCAATGAATAAAAAGTAATCAGTCTCAGGCCAAGTCCTCCAATGCACGCTGGTGTTGGAGGCTCTGGCCACAACTCATGCACTGACTGGCTCTTACAGGTTTTATCTCTGTCCACAGACATGCTTCACACAAATAGATGTCACTCTTGTAAGTGGAGAAGGGCACACATGGACATGAGTAATGCCAGGGGATAAAGATATGACTGAGGGGACAGAGAATAGGAGGGAGAGGGAAGAAAGAAGAATGATAAGTGAATGAAAAAGAGTATAAAGGGAATGGGGAGGTGGAAAGTAAGAGAGAGGGAGACAGAGGGAGGGGGAGAGAGAACAGAAGAGAGAGGAATAGAGAGAGAGAAAAAAAGGAGAGAGAAAAAAAGGAAAGAGAGAGAGCAGGAGAGAGAAAGGCAGGCAGACAGATGTTGGAAATAAGAGAAATGACGGGAAAAACATGACAGAGAGAGAAACCTCTGGGAAAGATTATAGAGAAATATATAGTATAGTGAATTGCATGATACAGAGATGAATGGTAGAAGAAGAGAAACAGGAACTAAGTAGATGACAGATCAATAGGTGATAGAATATTTAATAGTTTATTCACCCATCTTTACTAATTATTCACAGTTACTGTGCCAGGCCCCATACTAGGTACTGATAACTCAAAGCTGAATAGATGAAGGTTCCTCTTTTCAACAGGCTTGATGTACAATGCGATAAAGCGGCTCTCCACCTCCCTGGTATGGAGACAGACAGCGTCAAGCTGGACGATCCCCTCACCCCAATGCAAAGACAAGAGCCCAGGGGTACAAGGCTGTCCTATTTCAGCCACAAGGTGCATGGGTTTTCTAAGGATGCGAAGATTAACAACAGGTGAGACGCAGCCAAGAAGGTGCGGGAGGCAGGGCGAGGGAAGCTGTTTCCTGAAGTTCAGAGCCACAGGTCAGGGGCAGTGGCTAAGAGCTATGGGGAGGAAAGCAGCTGATGCTCTCACCTTTGCCATTGTTGTCATAACATGGAATTCAAGAGTTGCCAGTGGGGCCAGGGAGATGGTTCAGTAGAATAAGCACTTGCCTGGTAAGCACATGGGCCTGAGTTCAATCCCAGGTTCGCCAAAAACAAGAAAAAAAAAAGAGTGGCCAGTAAGGAGGCTAAAGTTAAAAGAAAAGAGGATAGAAACATCTCCCAATAGTAGAGTCCTGTGCATGACTAGCTCTATGGCACATGTCTATCTACTGTCTCCTATACCTCTAGGCATTGAAAGTGAAGTGGAAACAGGACATCTGTTCTATTTCAGGTTCTTCTGAGTCCTGGCTTTAAAGTGTGAGTAATCAGCATCAATATCACCTTTTCCCCAACTCTACCTCCCACCCTGAGTTTTATCAACTCTTCTCTTATGCTATATTTCTGATTGAGCTTCTCTGTCACTCTCTCTCCTTCTTTTCTTCTTTTTGCTGTTTTCCTCTTGCCCTTTCCTACTCTCTTCATTCTCACTGTGACCCTTACACATTATTACACCTCTCCTCGCAGAATCCACCACTGCCCTTGGTAATTTATGTTCAAAACACTGCAACTGCCCTTCAGCCACTCTTCTCTTGTTTCCACTTTGAGTCACTGCTTTTAGATCCTATCACATTAATCACCAACTGAATTGGAAGCACTCACTTACTTAGAAATCATCACTGTCTCCTTAATCCTTACCCTGTTCTCTCTCAAATATAAAGTGGAAAAGCTGCCTCAGAGCCTTCTGTAAACTATTTTACCCACCTAACTCCATCTTTAATGTCAGCTCCAGTCACACAGTACAACTGGCTCTCCCTTTTCTGACAGTAAGTTTTAGCATAACCTATCACAGGCTCTGGAATTGCATCATTGTTTGTCTGATTTCAAACTCAAACACTTGTTAGCTTCTGGTTTTATTTTTTTTCTTCAGGCGAGTGACTTCATTTTTAGGGCCCTAGGTTTCATGGCAATAAATTGGAGATAAGAATATCTACCTAATGGGGTTCCTGATAAAAACTAAACAAGGCAATGAACATCAGGTGTTTGGGTATGGCCAACCCTCAACTTAAAAGTTATTGCTATGACTATTCTCCTGACAGAAAGGCCCCTGTCCTTGGTTAACCTAAATCCTACCTCTTTTCTGTAAGATACTGTGAAAATGCCACTTCCTCTAGGGCACACGTCCTGAATAATCTATCCATCATAGTTTAGCCTATAATAATATGACATTTCACACTGCTCACCCTCCTTTCATGTATGACAGTCTCATCTTACCACGTGTACTAAGCTAGTAAGTAATGAGACAAGAACAAGTGAGAACAATCTAGGTTCTAATTTTAATGCTACCATTTCAGAAGTGTGATTCTATAAGTCACTTAGAGAGCTAAGGTTTGGTTTTCTTGCCTGAGAAAGGGAATGCTAGTTATGACCTGGCTATGTTTGTGCAGAGATTAGAGATAATATTATTCAAAGCATCTGGGAGGGGCCAAGGAGATGGCTTAGTAGAATAAGCGCTTCCCTGGCAATTGCAAGGGCCTGAGTTCAATCCCCAGTTCTGCCAAAAAGAAAAAAAAAGCATCTGGGAAACCATCTAGTTTATAGAAAGTGGTCAGGAATAGTAGATATTATAATAACCCTTACTGCCTCAAACTTGTCAAGTGTATCCACTCCCCACCAAGTTAGGCATGCCTATGATCCTGGATGGATGGAGGATCATGAGTTTGAGGTCAGCCTGGGCAATTTAGTGAGATGCTGTAAAAATATCAAACAAACACACGAAAAGAATAAATACACCAAGTGCCAAGGTACTACTCCTTTGCTTCACTTTGAAAAGTAGCTTACAAAATAACTTTATGCATTCTCTTTCTTTCTAGGATGTCTCCAGAAATAGGAAACAGTCCTATTCTAAAGGAGACAAAAAGGATGTTAGGAAATAAATGAAAGCCTGGGAGGAATAAAATTCCAACAGATGAAACTAGAGCCAGAGATGGACATTTCTAACTGTAGTTTGGGAAAGGAGAGTAAATTCTATAGGATTTCATACTTAGTCTACTATTAATCCCATTTGCCCTACATTTGTTTTTTATTTTATTTTATTTATTTATTTATTTTGGCAGAACCAGGGATTGAACTCAGGCCCTTGCACTTGCCAGGGAAGCGCTTATTCCACTGAGGCATCTCCCCAGCTCCTTGCCCTAGATTTGGAACCAGCCCACACTTGTACTGAAGTCGCAGCATGTGACCTTGGGCAAGTCACTTCTCTGAGTCACAGATTCTTCTTTTCTTTGGGGTGGGGCTGGGGATGAAACATCACCTAGGTAAGACATCTGCCACTGAGCCATACTGCCCTGGACATTTAAATTACAAATGGGGAAGATTACCATCTCTTTCTTTTGAATTATGGTGTGATAGCCCCAAGTGTGAAATCAATTGGCATAGTGCCAGACATAGATATTTTGTAAACTTAAAAAATGCAACAGGAGCCATTTACTGAGCATTTCAGATGTGCAAGACACTAGTCATTTATTAGTTGCTTTAATTCTTACTCCAACCTAATGCAGTGAGAGCTATTGTTACTCCCACTTCACAGATGAAGAAACAGACAGAGAAATCTTAAGTGATTTTCCAAGAGTACAGAGCTAGTAACCAGTGGAGTTTGGATGAGACTCAGATCTCCAGCTTTTTCTAAGATACTACATGACTGCTGCTCCCTGAAGGGGGTCTGCCTCAGAAAGGATGTGTACCTGAGGCTAGCCATAGCCATTCCCTCAATAAGCAGTCAGGAAGGAGAGGTGTAGTAGTCCTAAAAACAGTCCCATCCTTGGGCAGTGGAGGAGGGAGACAATGAGGAATAAGCAGAGGAGTGAGAAAATTCCAGCCAAACTCCATGCAGTCGGCACCCAAGTGTGGAAGCAATGACCCTAGGGCATAGCCTTTCTCACTCACCAGACACATACTATTATTCAGTTCCCCCAAATGCCTTTCTTAGGAAGCAAAAAGTAAAGGACACTGAAGAAAGAAACCAGGAGAGGAAAGAAATGCAGTGGCCATGGCAGTCACGGCTACTGGCTGTACCTACCATGGAAGTTGCCCAGGGCGGAGAGATGGCTCAGAAGAGAATGAAGTATCCAGCTAGCTCCCACTCTTATCAACAAACCCTCCAGCAGTGTCTTTCCTTAATTGGACCCCATCTTCCCTCCAGGTGAAACCTGTGGTGAGGAGCCATCAGCCCAAGATCCTGTGTGTGAT